CGTCGCGAAACTGAAACTAATTTCATTGACAGTGAGATAACAGATAAAAATAGACGTAAAGTAGGGTAAATTGAATAAACAAAATAAAATAACTAGAAGAAAGAACAGTTAAATTAATGAATGACAGGGTTGTATAAAATTTATGTATTATTATATTTAATATTTTAAATGGTTATTTTTATTATTAAGTATTAACCACACCCACGACTCTTACCCACACCCACACCCACACCCACGACTTGTACCCACGACCCACGACCCATGACCATTAGTCAAACTCCATTTTTACTGAGCTAATGTAATTTTAGCCGCTTATGTCCCATTGAGAGGTAATTGGACACAGATCGATTTACTCTGGTTTTTGTTGATTTCCTCTCTGATGCAATAGCGTTTTCTTAGACCTCCTTTGAAGTGTAAGGCTTTTTATTATGGCTGACTAAGGGTTGAACTTTTCTCCAAATTGTATTCTGGATGTTAAATACTAGATGATCTTATTTAATCTATGAATGTAGAGTTGTAACACTGGGCTTATGTACCAGCTTGTTAGTTTTCTTTGCAGAATGTTAAATTATCATGTTTTGTGCATGATTTCAGCATGATTTCAGCATGATTTCAGCATGATTTACAGATCCAATATAATAAGATTGAAGTGCAGCTTAAACGGTTTCTTTTGCCATTCATTGTCATTTTTAAAAGTGTGAAGCTATGAGATTTTGATCTTTAGGGATTTGGATGCTAACTCCCAAAAAAACAATTTCCTGGGACTTAAGATATTTCCAGTTTGCGTAAACTGTAAAGACAGTATAAACCACTTTAGGGTTAACCACATACTAGACTGCAAAAACAGTCGGTGATTTTCTGAAAATCAGTCTTGCTCTCCGTACCTAATACGCCAAAACGCGGACTGTTTCTCATACTTCAACCTGCGACCTGCAACCTACAACCTGCAAATTACACCCTCCGTGTGAAATTGTCATTCATTCATTTGCTATTTTTCACTAGGAATTAAAATAAACTCAGACTTAAACTTCCTTGGTTCCACTTAGAGTAAAGAAAAATGGGAAGTAAATATCAAGAGAATTTGGCGATGAATACAGCTTTAAATTCCGGGGGTGGAGCAGTAACTGATTTAGTCCCATCTTTTCCCCTTTGCTTTAGAAACAATTGTGGTTTATCAGTCATGTCATTGTGACTGTGTTTAAAAAACAAAACTCTGGCAAAACAAAAGTTAGCTAGTGTTTGAGCCTGACTAACATAATATTTTCACTTAAAAGTCTTTTTGGCCAGCTCTAGTCTCTTCCATGCAGTGAATTTTTCTCAGAATGAAAGTTGTCTGCCCATAACAGTTAAGTTCATTTACTAGGTCTACTCTTAATTAATATGTTTGCATGAGGTTGCAGACTTGAAAAGTTATGCAAAATGTTTGATCAATGTAATGAAACTTATCCTTTCTATTTTTATCATGAAATGGAGTTATTTCTAATTTGTGGTGCATGTAGAGGAGAACCTCATTTTGTTAGACTGAGCTGACTGCACTTAATTGGATATATTTTAATAAAAAAAAAATTGTCCAATTTTTAATACTAGCACCTCTCGGGTTTACTTGCTCAGGGTTTAGTGAAAGTATTTTTTTGCCTTATTAATCTCTCATCATATGAGAATTAAGGTGAACTCTACATGCATTTTGATTGGTTCTCTCATACAACCGACTGGAAGACAGATGCATAGATGACCTCACCATTAATAATATTTTTCGTTTTTATCGTATAAAACAAATAGATTCCATTTTGCTCTGGGCCAGTACAACTGTAGATCACAGAAGACATAAAAATGTGTTGAGAATATCAGAGTGGTACATTTGGCTGTGCCTTGTGTGCCATTTTTTTTTTGTTCTTACCACATTTTGACTGTATCTGATATCTATTACTGCACAGACACTCAGCAACATGGTGAGAGAGTGGCAGCAAGATATTATAACTCAAAAGACAACAACTGGACCAGGTCAGGGATTGAACACGGCCCTTTAATATAGTTTCTACCATACCACCCAAGAGGCTGTTATGCCATCTCCATCTCACTGTACTGGTTTGCTAATGCCATCATCCTGAGTGATTAATTCTTATAATGCTTAATAATTGTGTAAAGTCATTTCTTTTTTAATTTATAGGGGTCAGACTTATTCAATTCACCTTGATCTGGGCTGGGTTGTTCAAAGCTGGTGTAAGGTGGTATGAAATTTGATCTCAGATCCAAAAGCTTTGAAAGAAAATCTGCATTAATTATATTGTCTACAATTTGATAATTGGATGCTCTAAAAGGAATAAGGAAACTTATCCCAGAAAGGCTTTTGAACAGAGAAATAAAGAAACCTGGTATAAAAATTTAACCCTGATTTAACACAGATCTGCCTTCAAACAGCTGAGCTCTGGGGTCTTGCAATAGAAGCAAGGACTATCCTTAGGCCTTTAATCAGAGGTGCATCTTGCAACATCGTTATGTTGCAATATTATTCTATGGGGAATTGCATGGATTTTGCATGCAGAAAGCCCCTTATCTTCCTAGTAAAATTGGGAACATTTTTCCTTTCTACTAAGGTAGATCAAAGGTATTTCTGAAACAGGTTTAGTTTGGTATTTGTAGGAGAGATAGCTCTCAGTGTAAGAGAGTCCAAGGAATATTAAGTGAAACAATTAAATTTCTTTCTTCTTAAGTGGTAGTTTTATGCAGAGCAGAACACGTTTAAGGAGAGGCCTCAGAAACATGGACTTCACATCTTCAGGTGTTTCGATAACAGCAATAGCAGAAGACAAAGCCCTTTTTGATGCAGAGACAAAATTGTATTTTTTTTTTAAATCCAAAATTGAATAGTCTGTTCATTTCTTTGCATACACTTATCTGATGAAATAAATTAGAATAATTCCTTATTGTATAAAGCAAGTTGTAAAAACTGCTACTGTCATTTTCAATCAGTGGTTTTGCAGTGCTGCGACACAGTGTTAAACTCTTGTTTCTTGGCTAGATCATCTTCTGAATGTCACTTGAGCTGAGTTTGAGCTGAAAGAAAATACAAAGTTAAAAAAAAAAATTGCCAGTGTAGAAGCTGACAGTGCGTGCTTAAGATAGAGTCATTAAGCGACTTATCTGATTGTTCGATTCATATCGTACGCGATGATAAGGAAATAAAATATTTCTCTGTCTGACTGGCATGTTTGGCAGAAGGGTCGTCTGTTGCACTGTCCTCCACGCTATATTATCCAGAATAATCAGTCTGATAAAAAATTTAAGAGAACACAAGGACCTTTTTACCTTTATCGGGGAAATGTCTTCTTTCTCTGTGTTTTTCTGGGGTACTATTGAAGTCCAGTCGGCTTGCTTGGTGTTGATTCGAGTCACCTTTGAACACGGAACTTGCAAACGCACTTGCGTTGTGTTTCCTGTTTGCTCGCAGCCAGTCTTGCTTGGAGTTAAGTTCGACGGTGCACCAAGATTCTATATTCATGACCTCCTTTTTTCTCTTCGTAATCTCTAACTACTTTTTGCCGTCGGTGAGAACTTCATGCAAGACCGATTAACTATTTGCAACACTAATCGTTTCCATGGAAATGACGCTTGGTGGCGGAGTCTCCCAAAGAGGCCTGGTTCCAAGCGAGAAGGCCTGGTTCATTTCTCCTCACAAACACGAGGAGAGAGAAAGATATGCATTTTGTCCCATGCATGTCTGTTACTGAAGCTCTTCGATAACCTGTTTCCAGCCATAACCTCTATTTATTTGCAGGAGATTCTTTTCTTTAATTTTGAAAAGGATGTATGCAATTTATAAGCAAACACACCCTCCGACAGGAATCGAACACTGCGAGTACTGTCAATTCTTTTCGTCAGCTGAAAACAATCTTGTTGTGGCGGGAACATCACAGCTTCGTATTTACAAGTTCTATACCCAAGACGAGGTAAGAGACAGACTCGGTGAATCGTTCAATGGTGACTTCAGTTATTGTCTTCCGGAGAATATCTAACCCGATTATCAGCAGCAAATATTGAAGAATTAAGCATGTACACTCTTCCGAAATCGAGATATTTACATCCGACGTCTGTTTTGTAGTTATTGTTAATAGTCTTCTCAGACTGTCTAGTAGGCACCCAGAAAAGGATACATGCTTTACATTACGAATCTATTATTGTTATAATTTGATTATTATTTGTTGAGATCAAGTGTCAAAACTAAATGACCTGAGATGAACAAACAATGGAGCAATTGCAGAATACCTGGCCACCTCATTTACCTGTGTCTGGAGGCATTGGAGAATGAAGCATGATGTAATAGAGGCTATTCTTATTCAATGACATGTAAATAAGTGGATGGGTATTCTGCAATCTAGCCCAAACAATAAGGTAGATCACGGGCTCACATGTAGAATTGACTCTTGTGGGAATAATGAATAGAATGGGTGTTGTTTCACACTTAACACATTGACACCTGAACCGCCCGTAACAGCCTGAACAGTGCAATTGGCTTGTGTGAGAACGCTTTCCCCCCTACCTCCCCTACCAAGCAGAGTTTTGTCCCCAAACTTCCTCTATGGTTTGGAGATCAATAAATCAATCAGAATCTGTCATTTTCCCATATATTTTGATGGGTTTAGGGGGTACTAGAGGGGCATTATTCTATGCGTCCTGACTAAATGATCAAATTTGGAAAGATGGCATCCGCCTGGCCAACCCTCAAAATCGTCAGGTCGGATTTTTCGTTCATTTGCGATCGAATTAGACCTTGTGGAACTCAGAATGTAAAGTAGCAATGCTATAGAGTACTCTGCTTGGAAAATAATGGATATGAAGGTCTTAAAGATGACAGAATAAACTCTCGAGTCAACGACACTATGATTCTCCGAGGCGATGCAAATAGTGGATGTAAAGTGAAAACCGAGCTTTCAGACTTCAAGCAGGGCCTAGCGACAATTTGATGATTCAATGGCCTTCTTTCACTGGAGCTTGTTTTGGAAAAGATGATTTTTAAAAATTTACTGCCCATTGTGTTTGGCTTTTTGGTTTCTCCAAAATTTTGACTTGTCTTAGGCACGTGTTACACGTAGGTGTTAAGGGGTTAATGTATGTCTATAGATCTACAGTGTGTGCCTTACACCTACGCCCACCGTTCCAGTTATTTGATAATGTTCAACTGACCTGTGGTAAATAATTATTATCAATCTTTACTCGACGTGTTATGTCCTTCCTTTAGCATACTGCAACAGGAACAGCACCATCAGACAAGACAGTAGGTCAGTATTTACTTAAGCTATCAGCATTTACTTGAGTTATCAAGTGTGAGATGTACTCAGAACGGACTTTCTTATGTTAAAAGGCTGATAGTTTCTAAAGAAACTGTTTGGCGCTACGTGGATGGGGGTAACGAAATAATTTGAATATATCAACAAAGTTGAAATGGCAAATTGGCCAACGTTATGGTTATAAATGCTGACGTTTTGAGCGTTAGCCCTTCGTCGGAGCCCTTTGTCATTAAGTTGCAACAAATTGCATCTGGTTGCAACTTTAAAAAAAAGCACTAGAATTGAAGCATATAAAGTTGCACAATTATAGTGATTGAAATGATGACATTTCTGCCAACTCGAGGTTTTCTCAGGCTTTTGTGTTATTATTATGTGGCAACTAGTCCTGAAGTGGCATTCCAATTGGATCTTACTTGGTTGTTATTTTGCTATGTAGACCATTTTCATAGAAATTGTTGTAAGCCATGTAATTGGGTCGTGCTGGGGAATATTGGTCCTCTGTTGTTTTTATAGACCTTGCTGTACCTGGTCTGCACTGCCACAACCTGGATCAATATTCCCCACTCAGCCCTCGCACTTAGTAAGTAAGAAGTCATTATTTTAAGGTAGTCTTGTTTTCTTTCCTTTTATAAGGGGGTGGGTGGGGGGTTAACCTGTCAGCAGATTGTAAATGTAGTCTAACATGTTTATAACCATAACAGTCTACCAACATTCTGAAACCTCTCCAGCTGTCAGTGCAGAAGTCAATTCTATTGCAGTTGTTGGACAGCTGAAAGATTATTGAATAGCTTATTTGTGAGAGCTTCACTTTGCAAGATTGGGTCATCTGTGATTTGCTTAATTTAGATGGTGCTACAAAGAGAAGGAAGTTGGAGCTTGTCAGCCAGTATTCTTTGTTTGGCAATATAGAATGCCTTAAAGCTGTAAGGTTAGCTGGAAATTCACGGGACTCACTGCTATTGAGCTTTAAGGATGCCAAGGTATTTTCTAAATGAAGTTTAAGAAATGAAATATTAAGGTTGTATTAATCACAAACTGCATTTGTTTGCATAAGTGAGATAAGAAGCCTTTTGAGTGAATTTACATAAATTCTGCCTCTTTGGAATAACCAAACATTCATATTTTAAGGAGAAATGTTCTGCACTTTTAACTGTTATTTACATGTACATCATATCGTGGACTTAAAGTTCAGGAGGTATACAAGGGTCAACATTTGATGAAATGTTCATTTAAATAATTATATTAATGACCATGTGATCTGCAATCAGCCAATGAGAATTAAATGCTCTGGCAAGAGAAATCTTAGGGATATGACAATAACCTGATAATTCCAAAAGATTCTATTGTCAATCAAATCCCAAGATGTTACGAAGACCTGTAGTAAAGTGAATAACTTGTGAACACTCTAATTGAAATTTATCAGATGAGGATGTAATTCTTCTTTCCACTTTTCCTTCTTTGTCATAAAGATGAAAAAGTTTTGAATATTAGGTGTGCATATGTGTGCCTAAGTTTCAAAAATGATTTCCAATTAACAAATGGTAAACACCACAGCGTACACTATTGAGTTATGGATGCACACGGGAGGTTGCTAAGCATGAAAGAAGCGTAAGAGTCGCTCGAGGCGATAGGCGAGAGCGACTCTAGCCTCCTGAGTGCTTAGCAAACCTCCCAAGTGCCTCCATAACTCAATAGGGTACGCTGTGGTGTTTACCATTTGTTTTATAACATAACATTGATACATTGTAGCTAAAGAGTTCCCTTTTATTTAACAAATCTTACGCGACCAGAAAAACAAGCGCGCGTGGAAAAATAGTCTTTGTATTTGCTCACGTCAGCAGCGTACACCCATGGGCAAATGGGGGACGCTAAATTGACCAATCAGAGCACCCGCTTTACTTTGGTTGTGTTATAATCTTTTTTGGTTCAGATTCTTCATTGGCAGAGTTCCTTTCTAAGTATTTTTTTTTTTATTGTGTCTGCAGTTTGCTGTTGTGGATTATGATCCAGGCACACATGACCTGAAGACAAGAAGTTTACATTACTTTGAAGATGATAAAATAACCAAGGTACTGCATCTATAAGATGAACCTTTACAAAGCTAACCTAACTTTTGAATCTATTACAAAATATTATCTTCATGGGAAGAATGATTATGATTCAAATAATAGCTATAGTTAGGTAAGGTAACTGTAGAGTTTGTACCTGAACCAACGGGTTCATCCACCTGAAGCTTATACACGTTTCCATAGCATGAAGCAACCAGGTGGTATAGTATGTAATCCCCCATCAATTGCAAGGCTACCCCTCCCTTCTCCCCCCAACATTTTGTGACGCTTCCCTGATAATTAACTGGAACTTGGCTGTTTTGGTCCTGGGTGGGGACAGGAACTGTGAAAGTATGGTGTTTGTGCTGTATTCGATTTACGTTTACATTAATTCAGCCTCGCTTCCGTTCATGATTCGATGTATAATCACTTCCGGTAATGGCGACGACACATGTTAGAAAATATTAAAAGTTCTGTGTTGGAATCCAAGAATATATCTCCGTTTCTCGTGCCATCCGAACACCACAGTGTTTTACCAAAGAATGTGACACATTGACATAGAATTGATATTCACATGGTAGATAACGAGACAGAGGGAACTTTCCCAATTTTACAGTCACCATCTTTTCCCTGTGTCACTGTACAGAGTTGTAATCAAGAATATTTTCGGCCTCCTATGGTATGTGTGGATCCTGATCGACGCTGTGCAGTAATGCTTATCTATGGCACACATATTGTGGTTTTGCCGTTCAGACAGGAAGGAGTGTTAGAAGAACATGAACAGGAAGGAACTTTTACAGCCAGGTATGATTAACAGTATGTGTATTTTAATGAGCTGCTTTTTGTACCAATGTATCATACAGTCAAGTATTTAGAAGCTTGTATGTAAGGGAAGATATGTAGGTGGGTGTGTAAATCTGCCAAATATATTTAAATTTGGTCACAGCCAGGTGAGTGATGTGATGATGTCACTAAAAATCAACATTTTATGGCAACAATAAATAACCAAAACAACAACTATGTCTGTAAACACTACATTAAGCATTCAAACTCTTCTTTCAACAATGAGCACATGACAGGGAAAAAAAAAAAACTACCATCAAAAGTTAAAAACTCTCAGTCCAGAATAGTCACCCATTTATTAATTTTACAAGGATTTCTTGAGACACAAAGTATGTTGTGGTGAGATAAACAAATTTAAGGGATTGCCACCTGCCATGGGAGGTGGTGAATTTTGGGGGCTTTTAATTATGTGGTGGAGTTTAACTGTATTTCTTTGTGAGAACTAATTTTCTGCAGTTTGAGGAGAATCTGCTTAAATTCTGACCTAAGAAATGTTTTCTTTGTTAATTTTCTCTTTTAGTGGAGATCGTTCTCCTTTGTTGCCAAGTTACACCATCAACCTCAAAGACATTCATGAAAAGTTGTGCAACATTATAGATATTCAGTTTCTTCATGGCTACTATGAACCTACGCTGTTAATACTTTATGAACCACTACAAACTTGGCCAGGGTGAGTAATTCATTGTGTTCGCAGTACTGGTAATTTGTTTAGTTTTTATCTGTGGAATATCGAAATGCTTTGTCAAATGGTTATGACCTTATTCTATTGTAGAATTCACTTAAGGGAGTACAGGAAATGTTAATAGGGTAGTTTACCTTTATGAAGTGCTGTACCAACTGAGCTAACAAGCCAGCCAGGAGCTGGTCATTTTTGTTAGTTCATAATAAACCTGTGAAGTGACAAATCAATGAATGTGAATATATGAAAATCACCCTAGTACCAGTATGCATATTCTTCATACTTCTCTCCTTACATTTCCTGAGGTGCTGACGAGGAGAATTTGTTTAACAATCTGGAGCTTCTTAAATTGGTGATCATCTCCTATATTTTCCTGACCTTAATGTTCAATTCAGAGTGATATTGTGGGGAGGAATCAAATGCAAAGGGGTTTAAAAGTTAACCCCTACAACCTATTTGGGGATTTTCTCCATTACAGCTTTTCAATAATTTTATGGGTTATTTTTCCTTCATTATTGCTATTTATGGCTTAGTTATACATCATTGGCTTCTATTGCACAATAATGGTAACAATTATTTTCTGAAAAACAATAAAGAAAAAAGCCTTAGGATAACAGTGATTCTGTCTGGATGGTCATCTGCATTAAAATAAAATGGTCCATTGATACCAGTCTGACTATGTTTGTTGCTAGCCGTCTGGCCATGCGTCACGATACATGTGCTTTGGTAGCTGTATCTCTGAATTTATCTCAGCGTACTTATCCAGTTGTGTGGTCCCTGAATAATCTGCCATTTGATTGTAGTCAAGTTCTTGCTGTACCCAAGCCAATTGGTAAGTTAAAAATAGTTATGATACAGTAAACCCCTGTTAGTATCAACCTACAGGTAAA